TTATACCTCAATACCCGGCATACTTTTGGTGTTTAAAGTTAAAAAGTTTTGACTGAGAATCGCAAACTAGCACAAAAAAATAAGCCAAGAGCTTTTCTGCTACGAAATTTGCATTGGAAGAGTGTCCCTTCCTGAAGGTACTTGATCTGAAAACTGCATGAATATGTTCCGGCAAAAAAAATGTACGGCACAAAAAGCGAATGTTCTTACTCAATTTCTAGCACCGGTTGAGAATCATTCCAATTTGTCTGCTTTTTTCGTGTTGTTCTTCATAAATCCATCCTCAGCTCGTAAAGGTGAAGAAGAAGAAGGCGTTTCATCATCCGATTCCTCCCGAATATCATCAATGTTTCCTTGCACTGATTTAATAGCAATTTTTAGGATTATGTAAGTCCAGTAAATATGTAGCACCAGCAAACATAGCAGCATTAAGACAAAGAACCGGGGCATCATTGGCAGCTGTCGCAAATTTTCCCAGCGATAATCTGCCTGAAAATAATTCGCATACCGAAAACAGGAAAAATGACGATGCAACTATGCGCAGAGCAACTCTGTACAATTTTTTAAAGCAATGCTCGTTTGTTTCATATCAGACTCATGCAGTATTACATGTATCCAACTAAAGCAAGTGCATAATTTTGATTCATATTTGTCGGCGTCACTGACTTAGTGTTGAAGGGCCAGGACTGGCGTAAGCAGAACCTTAGAAATATATCCGAAAGATACACCTGAGAAATATATCCGAAAGATATATAACTCGGAAAATGAGCTAAATATTTTGCAGAAATTTAAACACAAATCTTGTGAAACTACTGAGTACCTATCGAGATAATAAAAAATCTCAGTTAAACTTAGTCGACAGAGCACCAGTTGCTGATGAGAAGATGCGTTTTTTGCACAGTTTCTTCACAGGTTTTTATTGCTAGTGGCACTGCTTTTTCCGGCAGATTCTTTTAGCTAAGCGAACTGAGAGTAATCATCACCACCACTAGAAATTATTACAATGACTCCCAACCCATGCCCAAAAAATTCAGCACTCTATTTGCTTCAGTTGCGGCGTTACGTCAAATTTCACGTGTTTGTAAGTGGCAAAGTGGTAAATGCTGCTTCCGCGTGCGCTTGCTCAAACACGGTCCTGGGCCACGCTCAGAAAATTTCATCATTCCAACTGTTCTGGTTGCGGGGTTACGTCAAATTTCACGCATCAGTAGGTGAGACATGAAACGGACGTGAAAGTCGCTACTGTAGATTATGTTCAGAAAGTTCCGGTCTTCTAGCCGCTTTAATTCTGAAGTTACAAAATTGCCTGCGTGAAACTTTCACGTGTCCGTATGTGAGATGCAAAGGGGCCAGAAAGCTCAATTCACTTTCATGGGCACACTAGTTGGCGACAAGTAACGCTGCAAAATTACAGCCCTCTGCAACTTCCTGGTCTATAGTTGGCAACACGCCAATTTAAACTCGGACTTGTGCGCACATGAGGCTTCGGGGCGCGTAAAGGCAGAATTTGAAATCTTTGGATTAGATGTAGCCAAAGAACTTCTCTGTGAAATTTCAGACTTTTAAATTACGCCGTTTCTGGAAACGCTTTCTCGCCACAAAAACCTTCACGTGCCTATACGTGAGAATCACGTAGAGGTGAGTGTCCATTTTAAGGATGGGGGGGAGGGCACGTATGTGTAAATTAAGTTTCAGCCTTATAGCTTTTGTGAATCTCGAGATATAAATTCGGCACACATACACAAATGCACACACACACACACACACACACACACACACACACACACACACACACACACACACACAC